CCGGCTGCCATCGGGGTGGGTCTGGGAGGCCTCGGTCCTGGGCCTGTTGGTGCCTTCGCACTGTGTCCTCGTGCGGACTTTTCTCCGCGGCCGAGGGGGCTGTGGTGTCTCCCTCTTCTGAGGACACCAGCCCCACTGGGCCAGGGCCCCATTGTCATGACCTCCCAAGCTCCTCAGAGGCCTTATCCCCAAATGCAGCCAGGGTGGGGGTCAGGGCTGCAGCGCTGGAGGGGACGTTCAGCCCGTGGCAGCTGGCGTGCGCGGGGCCGATGGTCTCTTGTGGACTTGGTCCTTGGGAGGCCCTAGCACTTGGCCGTTCCGGGCCAGTGACGCAGGCGGGGTCTCACCTGCATGAGCGCAGCAGCCAGAGGCGCACCTCGCACCTGTGCCCACGGCACTGCCCGCTAGAGGCTGTCTGCGCCCTGCAGCCTGGGGGGGGGGGGCAGCAGCACCCGCAGGATCTGTTCCCTGGATGGCAGGCCCTCCCAGGATGGGGCTTCGGGACCTTGGCCGTGGCGGAAGCTGGAGGACACTGCAGAGTCCGGTGGGAGGGAAGGAGGAGCTGCCCTGTTGGCTGACCTGGGCAGCTAGGGGTCTGGGCAGAGTCAGGGTGCTGGGCAGGCGGCCCCGCCGTGTTTGTGCTGGAGCCGAACGGTCCTGGTTCCAGAGGCTCCGCACACAAGCCAAGGCTGACACCACGGGCTGAGGTGCGTCCGGAGAGCGGGGAGTGTGGGCCGTGCGGGGCCCAGGCTTGCTGGCCCAGGCGGGCACACAGGCGGGGCTCTGCCGTGTGGGGAGCAACGCTCCACGGGCCCAGAAACCCGCTCCGAGGGGACTGCGGCAGAGGTGGAAACACGGGCTGGTGACAAAGGACGGGGAGCCGCCCTCCTGAGGGATTTCAGTTTCCCACCAGCGATTTTCAGACTGTTTCTGAGGTTTCGCTGGGGCCTGGTCCCGGCACCAGAGCCGTGCGGAGCCCCACCCTGCCCGCAGGGCGGCCCAGCTGGGTCTGACCCTCCTGAGCCTCTGAGAGTGTCCCATTGTCAGAGCATATTGGGGCTCACTGACAGGTCTCAGAAGAGGGGGGTGTGGGGTGATCGCACGCCTGGAAGTTGGTGCAGGCAGGGTGGTCGGGAGGAAGTGTGACCCAGACATTTGATGTTTGAAGGGCCCCGGAGGCCCTGGGAGAAGGTCTGAGGCTCTGGGGGAAGGTCCGGACTGTGCAGGTCTGTGTCGTTTTGTCCCCCGCATGGACTCCTGTGACGGCCTCTCCGCCAGCCTCCCTGTCCTCACCACTCCTCACCCCTGACGACCGTCTGTGTCCATCTCCGCACGCTTGTTGGTTCGATAGTGTCAGGTAAATGGAATCACACAGCACGTGCCCTCTCGGGACTGGCTTTTCCACGTGGCATCGTGCCCTTGGGACCCATCCAGGCCGCCCGCCTGCATCCATAGACCGTCCCTCTGCATTGCCGGCCGTACTGCAGCGTGTGGACACGCCGTGTGTAACCTTCCACTTGCCAAGGGCATCTCGGCGCGTCCAGCTTACAGCTCCGACAGATGAAGTTGCTAGAAACCCTTGTGACAGGCTTAGTGTGGGTGTGAGTTCCCGTGTCCGGGTGAGGACCGTGGAGGGCGGTCACGTGCGTGGCAGGTTAGTGTGGGTGTGAGTTCCCGTGTCCGGGTGAGGACCGGGGAGGGCGGTCACGTGTGTGGCAGGTTAGTGTGGGTGTGAGTTCCCGTGTCCGGGTGAGGACCGTGGAGGGCGGTCACGTGCGTGGCAGGTTAGTGTGGGTGTGTTTCCGTGTCCGGGTGAGGACCGGGGAGGGTGGTCACGTGCGTGGCAGGTTAGTGTGGGTGTGAGTTCCCGTGTCGGGTGAGGACCGGGGAGGGCGGTCACGTGCGTGGCAGGGTTAGTGTGGGTGTGAGTTCCCGTGTCCGGGTGAGGACCGGGGAGGGCGGTCACGTGCGTGGCAGGTTAGTGTGGGTGTGTTTCCGTGTCCGGGTGAGGACCGGGGAGGGCGGTCATGTGCGTGGCAGGTTAGTGTGGGTGTGAGTTCCCGTGTCGGGTGAGGACCGGGGAGGGTGGTCACGTGTGTGGCAGGTTAGTGTGGGTGTGTTTCCGTGTCTGGGTAAGGACTGGGGAGTGTGGTCACGCACGTGGCAAGTTTATGTCTAGTGTTTTTAAGCAACTGCCACAGCGGTTCCCGCCCAGATGGCAGCCACTGCCCCGGGGTCTTGTGTACCCCCCAGACGCTCACCGCACATACGGCAGGCGCACCGGACGCGCTTGGACCAGGGCCGCTGCCTGCTCGCCCTTGGGCCTGGCCCTTCTCCCCCTGTGTGCCCCACACTCACATGTGAAGCCAGCTGGCGTGTTTAGCGTCGGCTCCGTGACCGGGTGTGATTGTTCCCATCTTTGTGTCTCCGCCCGTGTCCTGTCTGCTGTGTGCACCCGAGCCAGGGTCTGCAGCCTGCCGGGCGTGCTGGACAGCGACTGGGTACGGCCTGTGTTCCTTCATTCTGTCACGGGGTCGTTTGCTTCCTGTATGATCGTTAAAAGAAGTAGCTTTTATGTGTGTTGTCTCGGTGGTGGTGGTGGTTCTGAGTGCCACTAAACAGATCTGCTGTGGTTTGGGGTCAGAGTCCTTTGATGTTCGTTTTAGGAGGGATAAGAGAGACTCTGTTGTCATTTAAATGTTCGAGTGTGGTAGTTCTCATCCCCCCCAAGTTCAGGACCTTCTTTAAGGTGGCTGCTCTTGGAGGGTCGTGACCTGCAGTCTTTCCGCCTTGGCCCCTTCGCAGCCTTTCACGTGGTCTAAGTTCCCGCACGGCTGAGTGTGGTCCCGCCCAGAGCGTGGACTCGTCGGGTCCGGCTCGGGCTCGCCCTGCGAGGTCTTCTGCGCTCTCCTGCCCGGAGCGCTCTGCAGTACCCGACCGGGGCCCCGGTGGTCCCGGGTGGCGTCGGCCAGTTTCCAGAGATGAATTTGGTCTGTTTCTGCAGATGGCCCAGTGAGGGCGGCCCGCACGCCTTCCTGGCCCGCTCCCGGCCCGTGGCCCCAGCCGTGCCCACTGCTCTCAGGCGGACACCCCTAGGCTCAGCCAGCACTGCCCAGCACACCTGCTCCTTCAGCCCTGCGGGGTCCTGCCCCCAGATTCGAGCCGCCTTCTCTAGCGGGGGAGAGTGAAAAAGGAGGTGGGCAAAACGATTTCTGTCCGGCATCACTTTCTTTCTTTTTTAATATGTTTTCATTGATTGTTTTAGAGAGGAAGGGAGAGAGAGACACACACACATCCATTGGCTGCTCCTGCACGCCCCCTACTGGGGTTTGATGCCCTGACCGGGAATTGAACGGGGTCCTCTCAGTCCCTGGGACGCTGCTCCAGCTCCACCCGCCGACCCGCACCGGCCGGGCCTGTATCACTTCCTTTTCTCCTCTGTGGCCCTTGCTTCAAGATGCCCGTCTGAGAAAAGGCGTTCCGTCCACTCTTCCAGCTCTACGTTAGCCTGTTAGTAGTAACGATCGGGGTTTTCGGACAATCTGCTTTTTAAAATGATCATATATGTTCACTAATTTATTTTGGAATGAGCTCGATGCAGGTGAGTTCATGGGCACTCGGAGTGGAACCGGGGTTAGGAATTTGAAGGGAAAATCGGATCTTTGTGAAGCTTTCCACGTCTCCTTAACGCGGAAGCCCGCAGGGAAGTTGTGTGTAATTACGAGCTGAGTGTGTCCGTGCATCAGAGCCCACGGATACACTTGTCTCGGCAGGTTGAGCACTGTCTCTGTGATAGGTCCGCCAGCATCTCCCTTTCGGTGGGAAGTCTGTTCTTTTTCTTCTGTAACGAGACTAAAACTATCTTTTAAATCTGCCTGGTGCCGAGTTTTATTAAAATGTGTACGAATAGACAGGCATTATTTTCCAGTTGATTTCTCCTCTTCTGCATCCTATTTTTAATTTTGCCTCCGTCTGTACTGTATTTTAACATTTGGGACCTGTGGATACGTCCTCCAAGAGCATCTGGCTCTGTGGCGTGTCTTGGAGGAAGCGGAAGCCGGGCAGTGTGGCTCCCGCCGGCTCCGAGTGTCCGGCTGAGTCCCGTTCGCCCCGACGGTACTGCCGGCCCTGCGGCGGCTCCCGCAGCGCCGTCTGCTTCTCCGTAGCGTCCTGTGAGCACTGGACCCCGGTGAGCCCCTCACGTTGCAGAGTCGCTCGCCCATCATGGGGATTCTGTCACCCTTTCTTAAGCACGTGAACACGTGTGGACAGTGATGGAGCTCTCGGCCTGTTTCCTTCCTGCTCCAGGCATCGCCCTCCGAGAGCCAGCAAAGGCCGTGGGCCCAGCGCGCAGGAAAGTGCCGAGGGGCGTGGGCGACCTGGACTTCTTCATCGGGGACGAAGCCGTCGACAAACCCGCCTATGCCACAAAGGTGAGCCCCGCCGGCCGGGGAGCTGTCGGAGTCTCCGGGAAGAGCTGCAGATTGAGCCACGCGGTGAGGTGGATCGTGCGTGTCAGCCGAGCGCGTTTTCATTCTGATGTGTGACGAGGCTCCGCTGTCGTGTCTGGCAGGGGACTCGAAGCCCCGCGCGCAGCCTGGCCCCAGACGCTGGGTGGCGCGTGAAGGCGGGCTCTGCCGAGCGGGCGTCACAGATTGGCGGTGAGCCTGTCAGGGACGGTTGCAGATTGATTGATTAAAGAGAAGCACTAAAATGGTTGAAGTAGACATTTGTTCTGAAAACAGAAAGCGCACGATCAGATGGTCCGGTCGATAGGCTGCACCGGCCCGGCCGCTCCTTTGAGAGACCTCCTGTGTCCTGGGAACGGGTGGTCGGAGCAGAAGCAGTTACTGCCAGTCTCTGTGGGAGACTGTCACCTGCTCTCTGTCACCTGCGGTCCCTGCACGAGCTCACCCTCCACGCCGGGGCTCCGGGTTCTGGGGGGCTCCGTCTCCCCGATGGGAACCGAAGCTTGACAGCCTTGGTTTCCCTTGTGTTAGTGGCCAATAAGACACGGGATCGTAGAAGACTGGGATCTCATGGAGAGGTTCACGGAACACGTGATCTTTAAATATCTTCGCGCCGAACCTGAGGACCACTATTTCCTAATGGTGAGCAATGGACGAGGCGGACGTAGCTGTAAATTCCCAGGGGCTGGGGTTCTCGCCTCAAGACAGTCTTCCCAGGGAGTCTTTCATTCTGCTAACGGGACTGGTACGGATTGGGGTGTTCCTTTGAGCAAATAACAGAAGGCTCCACTCAGTGTCGGAAGGCAGGGCTCACTGTCGCACTCTCAGAAGCCGGAGGCGGGTGGTCCCTGGCGGTCATCACAGCCCAGCCGCAGAGGTGAGAGGCGGCCGGTGAGCTGGCCCGGCCGCCGTGAGCTTCCCGGAGTCCGGCCGGCCTGCCAGGTTCTGGGTCACCTCGGGGGGTGTGCTTCGCAGTGAGGTGCCCTCTTAGGATTCTCAGCAACCTTCCCGGCAGATTGGCCCCCATCCTCGCCTAGCCCGGTCCCTAGCAAGGGGGATGGAATTGCTGGACAGGTGTAGAGTCATCAGGATGCTCTGCCTGGGGCTGGGAGGGGACCCTGTCCGATCACCTGGCCCGGGAGGGTAGGTACCGAACAGGCCTCCGACTGCCGGGAAGGTGGAGGGAGGAAACAGCTGATCCTTCCGTAGCCCATGAAGTGAGTGGACGGCTCATTCTTGTTGTTCTTTTTAAATCCTCACCTGAGCCCCGGCCGGTTTGGCTCATTGGTTGGAGCGTCGGCCCGCGGACCAGAGAGGCCCGGGTTCGGTTCCCGCTAAGGGCACGCACCTCAGTTGCAGTTTGTCCCCGGCCCCAGTTGGGGTCGTGTGGGTAGCAACCGGTCATGTGTGTCTCTCACATTGATGTTTCTCTGTCTTCCTCTCTCCCTCCCTCCCACTCTGTCTGATGGTAAATGCAAAAATGTCCTCAGTTGAGGATAAAAAAAAAAAAAAAGTGACATTTAGCTTTTGGTCTTGTCCAATACAGTACATTGTGAATGTTCCCAGCCACACCCAGTCATGTCCTTCCTGACCTCAGACGTGGAGCATTCTCTAGAGTCACCTGGCGTGAACCACGTTACCTCCGAGGCGGTAGTGCCGGTGGAATCTGTCTGTCAGCATCTGTTCAAGCGGGTCCTCGACGGGGCCGACCTCGTGCTCCGGCTGCGTCTCCACAACCCGAAACCGCCCCGCCTGAGCGCCGTGTGGCCTCCTCTGCGTCTCCAGGGTTCGTGGCCAGTCACGGGAGCTGGGATGCTGACAGTGCCTCCGAGGGGCTCTGCCTCCGTGGCCAAAGCAGATCAGAGTGCCACCTGCCATGTGTGGCCTCTCCCTCCCTGGGTGGGACCTGGGGCGCAGGCAGCGTGCCCAGCTCTCCCCGTCTGCGCGCCCACTTTGAGGGACAGCACGCCCCGGCCTGCGGAGCAGGTCCTCACCGGACACGGCCCACGGCCCACGGCTCCTGACTGCGTCTTCTCTGCTTTGGCTGCAGGCTGCTCAGCCGGAACCACTTGCCAGGAAGCCTTGGAGTGTTAGGTGTGAATGTGGAAAAGCCAAGGCCCTTTGCCGAAAACGAACACCTGCCGTGACTGTTGGGAAGTCGCGGGGCCCTCCAGGTGGGACGCCCCGCAGTGCGCCGCCCTCCTGTTCTCAGTCCTGCAGGGGGTCCGCTGCGTGCGCGGGAGGGTGTGGAGAGGCTCCGTGTCCTGGGTCTGCCGTAGCCGTGGTTACTGCAGCAGGGCCCGCGGGGGAAGCAGGTGCTGAGATCTGTGGCCAGGTGACTCCGCTGCGGCACCGAATACGGGCTTCCTGGTGTGGAGGAGTAAGAATTCTACATCCCACGTCCCTCAGTAGCTCACGAAACTGTCGTTTCTGACTGCTGTGCCCAGGTGTCTGAGCAGATGGGGTGCTCATTGCGGCTCCCCGTTCTCATGAAGGTTCAGCTCATGTTTGTCGTGTGGGCTGAGCAGGTAGCACTAGGGAAGCACTCTTCTCCAACATGGAACTGCCCAGTGCTCAAACCGGGTGCACGCATTTCAGAGAATTGCGGTGCCGAGGAGCAGAACGCAGGGGGCCCCGGTGCCGGGGAGCAGAACGCAGGGGGCCCCGGTGCCGGGGAGCAGAACGCAGGGGGCCCCGGTGCCGGGGAGCAGAACACAGGGGACCCCGGAGCCAGGTATCAGCGCACAGGGGTCCCCGGAGCCGGGGATCTAAACCCAGCGGGCCAGGGTACCGGGGATCAGAGCACAGGGGTCCCCGGAGCCGGGGATCAGAACGCAGGGGGCCGGGGTGCCGGGGATCAGAACGCAGGAGTGCCCGGAGACGGGGATCAGAATGCAGGGGTCCCCGGAGCCTGGGATCAGAACGCAGGGGACCAGGGAGCTGGGGATCAGAACGCAGGGGGCCAGGGAGCCGGGGATCAGAACGCAGGGGGCCAGGGTGCCGGGGATCAGAGCGCAGGGGGCCGGGGTGCTGGGGATCAGAGCGCAGGGGTCCCCGGAGCGGGGGATCTGAGCGCAGCCGGCCAGGGAGCCGGGGATCAGAACGCAGGGGTCCGGGGTGCCGGGGATCAGAACGCAGGGGGACAGGGTGCCGGTGATCAGAACGCAGGGGGCCCGGGATCCGGGGATCAGAGCGCGGGGGTCCCCAGAGCCGAGGATCCGAACGCAGGGGGCCAGGGAGCCGGGGATCAGAACGCAGGCGGCCAGGGAGCCGGGGATCAGAACGCAGGGGGACAGGGAGCCGGGGATCAGAACGCAGGGGGCCAGGGTGCCGGTGATCAGAACGCAGGGGTCCCCGGAGCCGGGGATCAGAACGCAGGGGGACAGGGAGCCGGGGATCAGAACGCAGGGGGACAGGGAGCTGGGGATCAGAACGCAGGGGGCCAAGGAGCCGGGGATAAGAGCACAGGGGACGCCGGTGCCGGAGATCAGAACGCAAGATGCCGGGGTGCCGGGGATCAGAACGCAGGGGACCCTGGAGCCGGGGATGAGAACGCAGGGGTCCCCGTAGCTGGGGATCAGAACGCAGGGGGCCGGGGTGCCGGGGATCAGAACGCAGGGGGCCAGGGTGCCGGTGATCAGAACGCAGGGGGCCCGGGATCCGGGGATCAGAGCGCAGGGGTCCCCGGAGCCGGGGATCCGAACGCAGGGGTCCCCGGAGCCGGTGATCAGAACGCAGGGGTCCCCGGAGCCGGTGATCAGAACGCAGGAGGCCGGGGGGCCGGGGATCAGAATGCAGGGGTCCCCGGACCTGGGGATCAGAACGCAGGGGGCCAGGGTGCCGGGGATCAGAATGCAGGGGTCCCCGGAGCCTGGGATCAGAACGCAGGGGGTCAGGGTGCTGGGGATCAGAGCTCAGGGGTCCCCGGAGCCGGGGATCCGAACGCAGGGGTCCCCGGAGCCGGTGATCAGAACGCAGGGGCCGGGAGGCCGGGAATCAGAACGCAGGGGCCAGGGTGCCGGGGATCAGAACGCAGGGGGCCCGGGATCCGGGGATCAGAGCGCAGGGGTCCCCGGAGCCGGGGATCCGAACGCAGGGGTCCCCGGAGCCGGTGATCAGAACGCAGGGGGCCAGGGGGCCGGGGATCAGAACACAGGGGGCCGGGGAGCCGGGGATCAGAACGCAGGGGTCCCCGGAGCCGGGGATCAGAACGCAGGGGGCCAGGGAGCCGGGGATCAGAACGCAGGGGTCCCCGGAGCCGGGGATCAGAACGCAGGGGGACAGGGTGCCGGTGATCAGAACGCAGGGGGCCGGGGAGCCGGGGATCAGAACGCAGGGGTCCCCGGAGCCGGGGATCAGAACGCAGGGGGACAGGGTGCCGGTGATCAGAATGCAGGGGTCCCCGGAGCCGCGGATGCGAACGCAGGGGTCCCCGGAGCCGGGGATCAGAACGCAGGGGTCCGGGGTGCCGGGGATCAGAACGCAGGGGTCCCCGGAGCCGGGGATCAGAACGCAGGGGTTCAGGGTGCTGGGGATCAGAGCTCAGGGGTCCCCGGAGCCGGGGATCCGAACGCAGGGGTCCCCGGAGCCGGTGATCAGAACGCAGGGGGCCGGGAGGCCGGGAATCAGAACGCAGGGGGCCAGGGTGCCGGGGATCAGAACGCAGGGGGCCCGGGATCCGGGGATCAGAGCGCAGGGGTCCCCGGAGCCGGGGATCCGAACGCAGGGGTCCCCGGAGCCGGTGATCAGAACGCAGGGGGCCAGGGGGCCGGGGATCAGAACACAGGGGGCCGGGGAGCCGGGGATCAGAACGCAGGGGTCCCCGGAGCCGGGGATCAGAACGCAGGGGGCCAGGGAGCCGGGGATCAGAACGCAGGGGTCCCCGGAGCCGGGGATCAGAACGCAGGGGGACAGGGTGCCGGTGATCAGAACGCAGGGGGCCGGGGAGCCGGGGATCAGAACGCAGGGGTCCCCGGAGCCGGGGATCAGAACGCAGGGGGTCAGGGTGCTGGGGATCAGAGCTCAGGGGTCCCCGGAGCCGGGGATCCGAACGCAGGGGTCCCCGGAGCCGGTGATCAGAACGCAGGGGGCCGGGAGGCCGGGAATCAGAACGCAGGGGGCCAGGGTGCCGGGGATCAGAACGCAGGGGGCCGGGGAGCCGGGGATCAGAACGCAGGGGTCCCCGGAGCCGGGGATCAGAACGCAGGGGTCCCCGGAGCCGGGGATCAGAACGCAGGGGGACAGGGTGCCGGTGATCAGAACGCAGGGGGCCGGGGAGCCGGGGATCAGAACGCAGGGGTCCCCGGAGCCGGGGATCAGAACGCAGGGGTCCCCGGAGCCAGGGATCAGAACGCAGGGGGCCAGGGAGCCGGGGATCAGAGCACAAGGGTCCCCGGAGCCGGGGGTCAGAACGCAGGGGTCCCCGGAGCCGGGGATCAGAACGCAGGGGGACAGGGTGCCGGTGATCAGAAGCAGGGGGCCGTGGAGGGCCGGGATCAGAACGCAGGGGTCCCCGGAGCCGGGGATCCGAACGCAGGGGTCCCCGGAGCCGGTGATCCGAACGCAGGGGGCCGGGGAGCCGGGGAGTCGGGGATCAGAACGCAGGGGTCCCCGGAGCCGGGGATCCGAATGCAGGGGTCCCC